GGTTTAAATGGGTACCCCCCTAGTTGGGGTGCAGGTACGGCAGATAGTGTAGAACCTTCGGGCGGACTACTTAAATATGCACTCAAAAGGTGCACGTGTGGCTTAATATACCATCATTGTAATTATATATAAAACTTCGTCTATACTCTAATAAAAAGTTTCCCAGACCAAAAAGGTTATCTTAATACCAAAAAAAATAAAAAATAAAAAAATAATAATATTTCTATTTCAATAGAGACCCAAATATAATTTATGTCTTGTTGAGATATTATACTAATATCTTTGTTTAATACAATTAAAAGTACTGCAGTGAAGATTTGTAGTCTTTCTAGTCTTCAGTTGTGGCTTTTTTGTAAAAAACTTTTAAATGAAATTTTTTGGCCTTAGTAGTATTATGAGCCTGGTTCTGTAGATTACTTTTACTATTCAAGTTAACTAAAGTTGTGTTGTGTTGCTTTCTGTTATACAGTCATATCTAGAATTTCTGCTTTATATAGACTTTTCACTACATCTTCGAAAATCTAAATTTGGTTGATCCGTGTGGCTGTGTTACTATTTGTCTATGTATAAGCTTGTGTCTCAAGATTTAAATAATGAAAGATATCTACAAATTTCTAACTTAACATCCATTCATATAGTGGAAGTTTTTTGTGTATAACTCTGCTACTAAGGCTCTGTTTATTGAGTTCTGGTGTTGTTATGTGATTGAAATCTCCCATAACTATTATCTCGAAATTTGCTGCTCTGTTAAGATATATTTCTTCAACTTGTTGATTAATTAGATCAATTTGATTTTTGTTATTTGGTGAAAAGTATACAATTAATACCACTAGTTTTAAGTGCTTTAATATTATATGAAACTTTAATAAATATTCATTGTGTCTTTTAATATTTCCTGTATATTTGTGAATTCTTTTTCTGATAAGGACACCTACTCCTGATCCTTTCTTTTTGTTAGGGCATAAGCTTGACCAATAACTTTTAAATGGGCTCTCAGATGTAAGAATAAATTGACCTTCTCTTTCTGATATATTTGTTTCTATTTCTTTTTCTTTTGCCCAATCTACTAAATATAAGAGCCTATGATTGTTTGATTTAAGTCCATTGATATTATAGATACTAACTTTAATTCACAGTCTAGAGCATTTGTAGTTATCTTAAGTAGTATTTGCTCTATCAAGCTATTTTGCTTGTTTAGTTTCATTGATGTGCCTGTAGTGCCTTTTAGAAGAGATTGGGGCTTAAAGCCCCCTGTTTTTCTTCAATCTTTTGAAGTCTGTTTAGGATCTGCTCCAGAATACTGCTTTGAAGTTCCAAGATATTAGAGGTGCTATTTCTTATTTCTTTTCTCTTAGTTGTTTTCTTTTGTGTTACCTAATTCTATTTTATTTGCACTAGTTGCTGCTTGATTCAATAAGTAATTCTGTCTATATACTCTATTGTTTTCTATTGTTCTGAGTGGCTTTCTTGTGTTATTATGAGATCTAAAGTTGTCGCTCATATATCTTCTTTGTCTACTGTTGTTGTTACTAGGTGATCTTCTTCTTTTAAAACTTTGTTTATAATATACTTCTTGATTTTTAAAGTGTAGACTATCGTAACTTTCACTTACATTAATTATGTTTTGGTTTTCTTTAGTACTAGTATCTTTAGTTGATATATAACACTCATTTCCACTCCACTCTAATCTATTGTGAAAGTAATATAGTACTGATGCCTTTGCTGTTTTGAGATCTTCTAATGATACGAAGTAGACCAGAGCATTCCCACTTGGATTATTATTTTTATTGGTGAGCTTAAACACTATCTTGGCTTTGAACCTTCTTAGTTGTCTAAGCAGAACTGATTCAAGAACTAAATTCGGAATGTTTCTAAGTATTAATCTGTATTCTTTTCTTTTTTCTAATTCTTTGGCATCAAATCTATTTACTGTAATTCTGCTTGTTTTTCTTTCTTCAAAATGTATAGCCCATGCATTTTGCAGATTTAGCTTTTGTTCTTCACTTCTACAATTAATCTTTATATATGCTGCTACTGATCTTTTCAATGTGCGCCATTCTAATAATTCTACTCTTCTATATTGATTAAAACATCTTTTGATTCTTGCTAAGTTTACTCCAAAAGGTAAATCTCAAATTGTAGAGTATAACTAAATTTCTCCTCTTTTTATAATATTCAGTTTTATTTAATAGGTTTTTATTATGAGACAATATATTTCTAGGTGCCTATATTGAGCTATATATATCTTTTCTTTCTTGAGCTTCTTTTTTAAAATTAAGTTAATTTTCTACATTTTGCTTTATATTAGTAGTTTTGTCTCTATATCCATATTGTTGAAACTTTTAGCTAGAGATATTAGTTTTGCTGTATCCTCTGTACCATGATTTGGTGTTCCACTTTCTGAGAAGATTAATGAAAATTTATAGTCCTTATTTGAGTCATGACATTGCATTAGCAATTCCTTATCATTTTCATTGAAGTTTAATTCTGCATTTTTAATATAATTTGTTTCTTTCTTTTTTGAACCTGTGCTGCTTTGTACATCTTCATTATGTATTCTTTTTCCAAGCACTGAGACTGAAGATTCTATGTCTAAATTTATTTTTACAGATTGGTCTATAGCTTGAATAGAAATGGTTTCTATTTGGACTTTATTTATAAGTTGTACTTCTACCTTTGAAATTTCTTTTCCATTACATCTTTTGTCTTGAACCCATTTATAGCTGTCTAGTAGCTCTTGTATAATACCAATTTGTTCTGGGTGTGATACTCCTATGAAACTTGCTATATTTTTGTCTATCTTGAGGGTTAACAATTTTTGTTCTTTATAAATTTTCTCAATTTGCTTTTCTGAATTGTTGTAAAAATTCTTTAAATCTGCTATTCTAGTCATTTTTATCTTGCAATCTCTATGGTTTACTACACGTCTTGTTTGTGTTGTTTGTTTGTCTACTTTACTTGTCGCTTTGTTTGTTTGTTTATACTAAAAAAAACATATATCACTGTTTGTTGTTGCATTTACTAATTTCCCCCAAGTTTCTATTAGCTATTAGTAAATCGCGTCTCTGAATGGATGCAATCGATGCCACTCATTAATGTGATACAGTATTACAGTATTACGGTATTACCGCATCACTGTTTTTTGAAATAGATCAAAATTCTGTTTAACTGCCAAGTTTTTTTTTTGAACTTATGACTGGTTACGTCTGAGTAATGATAATTTTGACAATATAGCTAGATCGAAATAGCCCAGCGGCAGCTTTTATATAGTTATTACTTACCTACTAAATACTAATTTGCTAATACAGTAAAGCCTCTCTATAAGTGCATGCTTTTAGGACCAAGCTTTAACAATGTGCACTTAGAGATCAATAAGAAAAAGTGTATTTATAGGGGCATGTATATATTTGGGCCAGAACTTGAGCATATATTTAGAGAGAGTGTACACTTATGGAGGTTTTACTGTATATTATCGCTTATAAAAAAAGAAAAAAATCCAAAAGTTTAATTTTTATATTTAATTTTTTTTTACTAAATTAATTAAGCTTGAGATATTTTAAAGATCTAGATAACCCTATTGAGAAATACTTAATTTACGATTCTTTAGTAGTCTTTCACTTTTAGCTTGTAAATTATCAGCAATTTTAATTTTCTTGTTTGGTTGATCCTGGCAGTTCCCTATTTATAGAAAATATAATAAGTTCGAACAACTGTAATAGCATAATATCGAGAAAGTTGCTTGATACAAAATATTCTTTGTTCTGGTGGCATTGTTTCCAAGAGTTCTCCCAAATAATAAGCATACTATAATAATACTTTTCGATTTTCCATTCTATTGGATTGAAGAAGGTACTGGTATATAGCTAAAGTCTGAACTTGATAATCTTGTAATGTATCATAGGGAACAATAATTGGGTTACTATTTTGAGCATTATTATTAAAGAATGCCAATTCGGCTATAACTGTATCATAAAGGTTTGCTATAGTAAGTAAAATCGAAGATTATTTTGCTATATTTTTGTTATATATAACAAGATAATAAATAACTTTTTAAAAAACTGAAGAAAAGCAAGCAAGGTATTTAATAGTTTTTTTTTTTGAACCATCAAATTAATAGACGCGGGATAATGAATTTAGCCATTTTTGGTTAAATTTATGATTTCTATATGTATTCAGATATGAGTTAATTTATTATAGTAATTTTCATTATATTTATTACATCGCATTTTTTAATTTATGTAAATTATATTCTAACTCTATTCGTTAATAATATGCTAAGCAAAAGAACCTGGCCTGGGTTGAGTTCTGATTTTCTATTTGATATGATATAATACTAGTAAAACAAAATAAATTCTAATTTCTTGTAATGAAATACTTAGAATTGGCCCAATTGTTGACTGATGATATTTTCTTTAATTACAGTATTATATCAATTAGTGATTGCACCAATTGGAGACGTTAAAGATTAAACATTTGGTATGTCTATTTTTATTGGTTTGTCTCAAAAATATTTTTGAATATATAGAGATCTTTTGGAAAATGAATTAGATCTAGTCTTGTTCTTCCATTACATTTAATTCAATTAATTAAATTTTTTATATTGTATTAATTTAAATTTTATTATTTTATAAAAAAAAAAAAAAAATTAGACGAAAGCGATATTACTATTCGAAATTATTATAGTAGTTGATAAGTAATTTATATTTATAAAAATTATTATAGAATAATATATCTAATATTTATTTTGCTTTCTAATTTCTGAATTTGGTGCTATATTGGGTTTTTCTGATTCATTATTACTATTTACAATATTAATCTTTGCAATTTTTGTCTTTTCTGTTTGAATAGCTTGCCTAAGTGTCAATCGTAAACTGTGAATATCTTGACTCTCCTTCTCTTTCCATTCTTCAATAATTGTCATGAGCTCTTGTAATTTTGTAAGCTCGAAGTTTTTATCACCTAGAGGACCAATAGAGGTAAGAGAGTTATGAGGTTCTTCAGCAACAAAACTCTCAAGTTGTTATAAAGAATGGTCATGACTACTTTTCTCAATACTACTAGCATTAGCACAAAGCTTGTTAAGTATAGCAAAAATATGCTTACATGACAATTGTTGTGTTTTAAAATCATGACAATTGCAAATATATGAGGAAATATTAAAATTATCATTATTGCTATCTTCTGAATTTTTTTTCTGAACAGAATATTCAATGTCGTTGTTCGTCATAGAACATACAATCCAGATACCAGATCCGACGCTGTAAATATCATTCTGGTTAATTTTTGTGGTTCTCGCAATCTCTCGAATTCTTTGCTGACACCTTTGTGGATTCATTCTACCAATCTTTAACTCATCTAAAAAAACTGAAAATTCTAAGTCCCGAAGTACAATTTCTGATAGAAGATATACTTCACTATCAAGCTGCCGTCCTGGTCTTCCTCTCATATAAACATATTTTAATTTACGGTGGAATGCCTCAATTAGATTGTTTGTATCAATCATATCTCTTGAAATTCCTCTTAAACACACCATCTATTTATTATATTTAGGTTTCCACCAATGCTCAAAATAGTCAGCAAAGCTATTTGCTGACTCAACCCCAAAGTTTCACATCTATTTAGTACTTCAGTAATTTGTTCATTCGCCTTCGAATCATTCCATCTCTCCGTTTTCATTAGCTGCCAAAGGTCTCTTCAAATAGCTGCCTTATATTTATCTACATTCAAACCAGAATTATGGTGTAGTTTCCTGCGCCAAGACCTTAACACATGAAAATGGCATAATAATACTATACTATCTGGGAAACACTCTTTAATAGCTTTTATTTTCTTACTCACATTATCAACTATGAAGATATCTGGATTCCATTCTTCATGCATAGACTTTAAAAATTCTAACCATTTTTTTAAAGTAATTGTTTTTTTATATTTACTTATTAAAAATGCAATAGGAAACCCACATCTAGCCATAGGATGCTGTATAAGAAGCGTAAAAAGGTGATAGCCATGTTGATTCATCCCATGTGTACCGTTTAAACATAAAACTCTAGAATACTGCATTAATTCTATTTGTTTTTTTGTTTGAAAGGTAAATATAAATCTGGTATCAGCTAAATTTAAGTTTTGTTCTTGGTTACCACATTCAAATAAACAGCACCTGCTCATGCTAATTATTTTAGCTCTCCATTTGTCTAAAGATTTTATTTTGTCAGTATCAAGGTAAATACATGCTTTCATCGTATCATGCACGATTGCATATATATCTTTTTTTGTTACTAACCCATCTCGAAACTGTTGAATATTTTGTAGAGATTCGTTACCTCGGTTACTTTCTAATAATTGGACTTGATTTTGAAGTTCAATTCCCTAAAAACGCAAAAGCCGTTGAATACTAAAGGTGTCAAGTCCTTCAAGAGCATGTTTTGATATTTTCTGAAAGAGGAAGCATGCATAAATCTGACAATTGACCAGGATAGTGATTTAAATGTTTATAGTAATGCTATAAAACTACTGTTGTTGAACCAACAGGAAGAGCAACATGGATGTAGCTTTTACATCCACATTTTTTTGATTCTTTTTGTACTAGGCACAGCTTTTTTGTAGTATCCTTTCCAGCAGTACTTTCATACGTTCCATATCAATGGCAGTACCACCTCTCTGACCATTGATTTTTTTTTCTTGAACCGCTTTGAGCCCGATGATCATACTTAATATAACTAAGCCCTGATTTCTCAAGATTTTTAATCCATGCCATGTATTCTTCAATTGAAAGTTGGTAAGTTTTTGATCTTTCTGCTTCTGCTAGTCTTTCCTGTACTGTGCTATCATCATCTTGTGTTTCCCATGCTTGACCTGCACTGTCTGTTGCATCTAAGATATGATCAAGCACATTATCAAAATTATTATCACTATCACTAATATCCATATCTTCTTTCTCAATATTAAAGATCATGTTAATACTTAATGGCAACGACATATTATAAAAAAGAAAAGATATTGTATTATATTTTAAAAATGCGAGAATTAGTGGGGCTTTGGGATATTCAAGTTAATTTTATTAGTTATTATAACTTTATGCTACTGCACACTTTTATAGAGTCAATTTAAATGAAGATATAGGCAGAGATGATTTATGTACTAAGAATTATTAAATAAAAGGAAATATATTTTTTTTTATTAAGTTAGTTAAAAGAAAAGACACTAATGAATATTTTTATTGTAAAATGTTTATTAGATTTTTGGTTTGCCTTACAACTTGAGTGAAGAATCTGCCCTTAAATATGTTATTTTACTGTTATCTATTTTATTTGATTACTTTTATAATGCTAATATAATGTTTATACGAAATATTACTTATTAATTTATTTTCTTTATTATATCAGCTAAACCTTCTCGCCATATTTTCATTATTCTCAATATTCGCCTAATCTTCTAAACCTATACTGCGTATATATGTTCGTGTAACTACTCTAAAAATTATGCATATAGCGGGGTCTTATAATCTGAAGTTTGAATAAGGCATATTGCATTAAATGTGTAGCAATCGGCCTGGGTTGGACGTTTACTGCTCAAGAGATCGATCAAATATCTAATTTGGCTATATGCACAATAGTGTGTTAAAGCTTTATCTTTATTGAATATTTTTTTAATGCAGCAGTATATATGAGTAAAATCATATAATTTTTATTTTATTTTAAGAAATTTATTAATTTTATCCAAACCAAATTTAGTTAAATATTAATTTTTTTTAAAATAAATTTACATTTTGTTTTATTTTGTTTTAATTTAATACTTAATAATTTAATTTATTTAATGTACAATACAATGATAATGATTAATAAAAAATCATGAAATTAAATTTTATTCAATTAATTATAAGTGTCGAATACATAATTTACATAATGTGATAGTAAGTAACCTATCATTTCTTAACACATTAAGAATTTTCAACTATCAGAATCACTATGTACTATTTTACAACACTAATAATATTTTACATACAAATAATCACTGTCAAGCACATATATAATATCAGTTATTTGTAATTTATATTCCTTCATTACTCCTATGTGTACAGAAAACCGCTAATATCGATTATATCTACACTATAGTAGTATTGACTTAACTAATACTAATACTACCTTACATAGCATATGCAAGACTACTAAAATAACCTAGCAGCATCCAGAAAATACTTAACACACTATAGAAACACAAAGTAATATTAGAAAAAGAGAAAATACCTGAAATGATATGCATTAGAGATAATAAGGATTAAGAAGAAAAGTAGATTTAGCTCATATTTTCTAGATCACTTAATGTATACAAGTCTGCTAAATAATCTAACACATATCTTAACACATTACAGATGCGTACTAAATAATATTGAAAGATTTAAAAGTAATACAATTTTAAATGTAAGTCTAACGCGAAAAGCACAAAAAACACTTACCAAATCGCAATCTATCTTATATGTTACTTTTTTGAATGAAATTTAGCCCTTTTTTTAAAATTCGAAAGCTTCTTAGCAGTATGTTAAAGTTTACAGACCCATTGAAATCAAATTTAATAAAAAAATCACGTAGTATACATGTGCGGCCTTTGTTATCATTATTGGCATATGTCACGTTATTGAGAGGTGTCGATTGCATCCAATCAGAGACACGATTTACCAATAGAAACTTGAGAGAGAAATTAGTAAATGCTTTGTTGTTTTGGTGTAACAATTGGTGATCTGTTTGTCAGGGGTTTGCTAAATTCCCACTTTTTAT